TCCCCCCCCCCCTAATGCAAGGGATGTGGCTGCAGAAACAGCCAATGATCACACATTAACACGTGTGTTGACATGGGTACTATCAGGATGGTCTGACACATGTCCTGGCACAGAGTTTCAGAGTTTCTGGAAGAGGAAGCATGAGCTATCCACCTTTAAGGGTTGTGTCTTATGGGGTAGCAGGGTAGTGATCCCAACCTCATTGAGGACTAGAGTCTTACAGTCTCTGCATGAGGGACATCCGGGAATAGTCTGGATGAAGACGCTTGTGTGTAGCCATCTTTGGTGGCCTGGACTCGATAAGGAGATCGAGACCCAGGTCCATGGATGCCATGTTTGCCAACAGTCTAGGCCTGAAATGCCTCAGGCTCCTATACATAGGTGGGAGGAGACACATGCCCCTTGATTGAGGGTTCATATCGACTATGCTGGCCCCTTTCAAGGGCAATTCTTCCTGATTATTGTAGACAGCCATTCCAAGTGGCTGGAGGTCACTCCAGTCTCCACCACAACTGTTGCCAGGACCATCCAGGCGTTGAGAGGGATCTTTGCCTCTCATGGGCTCGAAAATGTCCTTGTCTCCAACAACGGACCTCAATTCACTTCTTCTGAGTTTCAGGCTTTTCTAAAGGCCAACATGATCTGCCATGCTACTTTGGCACCCTTTCATCCAGCTTCCAACGGTCAAGCTGAGTGCATGGTGCGCATAACCAAGGATACCTTGAAGAGGCTCACGCATGGGGACTGTGGGCCAGAGGTCCACCCAAGCATTTACAGGACTCTGTAAGATTCCTGTCAGTAGGTGTGCAGGCTTAAGAGTACTTAGAAATCAGAACACACTCAAAAGAACAAATGTTAGATTTATAGTAATGCAAAATAGTAAGTGTTCACTTATTTTGAACTAAGAGAGGAGGGGTGTTATATCCTGGGCCTGCTGAGTGACTCAGCAGGTGCAGGAAGCTGCAGAGAGCCCTGGACAACCACATGGTTGCTGGGACCAGACAGGCTGTCTCCAGCCTATTGCACACGCGCAAGGCGGGAGAATCCGTTGTATTGATTGGATGACACTGTCCCTGCAAAGGGGTATATAAAGGAATCCACACCATTTTGTTTTGGTTCTGCTGGAGATTTAATAAAGAAGCATCTGTTGTTTGTCTGCCTCGTCTCAATGCCTTACCAACGCACAGAACAGAACAGTTTCCTTTATGGAGCTTGGCTGCTAGTTATTATATATTCATGTTCTAATCATATGCCATTGTTTATTTTATTCTAGTTTTAATGGATCTTGCAGCATTGAACAATGTTTAGATCAGTGGTTCTCAACCTGTGGGTCGGGACCCCATTTGGGGTCGAACGACCATTTCACGGGGGTCGCCAAACAAGGCTGTCCACCATTTTTTCCCCTTTTCTTTGGCCACGCCCCTGGCACCCGGTGATGTATAAGTGGTTGGGGGTCATCACAACATGGGGAACTGTATTATGGGGTCACGGCATTAGAAAGGTTGAGAACCATTGGTTTAAATGATGGAATACTGTCTCTTTTATTGAATGGCAAGAAAGGTTAACTGCCTGGATAGCTTTTCATAGAGCCACAGGGTTATGGATTAGTGAATCCCGGACACCTGTTTTACTGTTCTAGTATGGGACTTTCAGAACATCTGATAATATAGGAATCTATTCTATGATCATTTGAGGTTGTAGAAGAAGCTGCATTATGTTCAGAGATTATTCTTAACAATTCCTATCTGATAATACATAACAGCTTTAAATAGAAAGCAATCAGCTCTGGTTGAGTATATTTTCATCAATATATGCATTGCAATAATTCAGCCGTGTGTATGTACGTACGGCTAGGGGAAGGAAAACACTGCTAGCTTGTCCACCATCATGAAGATGGAGCAAGTCATTGTGGAATATGCCCAGTTTAATCTGAATATTATCCTCCTTAGCTCCCAGATGAATGAACTCTTGTTCCACTAAGCTCTGGCTTCCACTGCTCTAGAAAAATTCTAACCTGAACCAGCTCATCAGAGAACTAAAGCAAGGGTTTTGCCCAACAACTCAGCATGTTTGTAGAAAGCAAGGAAGATGATCTTGTTGTAGATATACAGGCCCTATCATTGCTATGGCAACAATAGATAAAACATTTTCTAAGGCTATAATATCCATATAATATTTGGAAGTGGCACAGACAGACGCTCCCATGAACAATAAAAAGGATTACAATAAGGACTTGGTTTGCTGAAAAATCAACAGATCTCTCAATATTTATGAATTTGTTTGTTTATTGAAACCTATCAGTAGCCTGCCTTCAGTGGACCCTGGAGAGTGCACTAAGCTAAAAAAGACATTAATAACTCTAAAGACTTTAAATCAACTGTAACCTTAACTAAATGCTTTAACAAATCAGTAAAAGAAAAACAGGGGCTTTAAGCAAATAAGAACAGCTTCAGGTCTGGGATCGAAGCCCAGTTTTCAAAACTTTCCATAACCCTAGGAGAAAGAGCACCTATGTCACTGAGGAAGGGTGCTTTTCCAGAGAAGGCCACAACAGAGAAGGTATGCCTCCTAGGTTCCATATGATAGCAGTATTTAATGGAGAAAACCTACAGCACAGCCCTTCTGCTATAACATGTTGGATAGGCCTAGATATTCAAGCCCTATGCCATTCAAACACTATTGACTGTTGAAATCATTGATGGCCAGGCCCTGATGGGTAAAAAAGGGATTGCCAATGCAGCCATCACTTTGAATAGGTCTAGTTCTATCTAGTAACCAGATCTTACTTTCCCATTTTGCTAAGGTTTGAGTATCTTCATGCTCATAATCTTCACAAGATTGGTCCATGGGAATTATCTGCTTTTTTCTTTATATTATGTATCATTTGTAAACATAGTATCTGAAATCCTCACCATTCAATGCATAGAGGAACCTTCCAGGGCCTTACCCACAAGTACTGTGTTTCCCCAGTCTTACTTTCTTTTGGGCTCTGAAATAAGCACTAAGGCTTACTTTCAGAGTAGGGCTTACTTTTACCGATACCAGCAAGCTGCGAGTGCATGGAGATGGGATAAACCCTGCACATGGGGCAGAGATGCAATGTGGCAGTGAGAGCATAGTGGCAGACCAAGTACCAGTGCAGCCATGCAGGGCAGGGCAGGATGTGTGCCCTTCCCATGCCAGGCCACCCCAGGGCAGCCATGCTGGGTGGCAGTGGGAAGGATGCTGAGGTGGGGGTGGCCAGGCCAACGTTCCTCTGGCCGGAGCGGGTGACCATTGCTCTGGGGATCCAAGGAGGCAATCTTCCTGGCCTGGCTGGGCCCGCCTGAGAGGTGAGGGTGGAGGTGGCAGCCCAGGACCAAATTGGCAGGTGGAGTGGGGAGGGGAAGGTCAATCAATCAATCAATCAATTCTAACTTCGCGAGATTTTTTTTTGCAAGAAGTTGGAATTGATTGATTTATGTATTTTTCCCCAAAAAACTTATTTTGTTTTCCTGCACATGGCAGCAGAGGAGCACAAAGGAGAAATAGGACAAGGCTGGAAGTCAGATAAGCAAAGACATGCAATTCCTGGGGGAAGTGAGAGCATCTGGTTGGTGATATGGGAAGCTCTTCAGCTCCGCGGCAGCAGAGATCTGTGATGGAGCTGCAAAGCAGATGGCAAGATGCTGAAACGGGCCTGTCTCTGTCCCTCAGCTGGCCAGGCCCACCAGAGGGAAGGCCATTAATTCCTGGCACCTATGGTAAATGTGGCAGCATTTCATGGTAAATTTGGCAGCATTTATGGTAAATGTGGCAGCATTTCATCTCTGGCAGGAAAGGGGTAGCCAACATGGGCACTGACTGCAGGATGCCTACTTGCTTCAGCCCCCTCCCTCCCTGAGCCTCCAGCACTTCATCTGTCGCTTTAATGGCTCAATGGGCAGAACTATGAAGAGGTCCAGGTGGCCAAATGCACCAGTAGTCTAACTCAGAAATGAAAGGGAAGAGGCTGGGCAAGTGAAGAGTAATCTGCCCCACTTGTTCCGTGGCTGCTTTTGACTGAGCTGCATCACGCCCACCAATGGTGCAGCCATGAGGTATGGCAGGTTCCCCCATTTGATCCACTCAAGGCCATAGCCAGGCTTCCCAAGCCTATGGTAACTCTAACCCTCATTCTCCCCCAAACCTAACTGGAGATGGGAAGCCCTGGGGGGAAAAACCGAAAAAATTGGGTGTAAAAAAACAGGATTTTTCCCATTTGTTTCCAAACTACCCCATGATCCGCCAGGCCATATAGCAGTGGCATTGGATATTACACGGAACAAGCCAGACAGCATGAGAGGTAGTGGTAAGGTATACCATAGGTTAGATCCTCCCTCCCCCACCAGTTTTGCCTCGTCACAGAGGCACTGGCAGTTACCTCCCTTACCTCGTGTCTATGGTAGAAACCAGACAAAATTGGTGGCTGGCTGGATGCTCAGGCTCTTAAGTAGGGCTTATTTTGGGGGAGGGCTTATATTAGGCCCATCCCTGAAAATCAAGCTGGGGATTACTTTTGGGGGAGAACTTACTTTCAGGGAAACATAGTAGATAGACTTTGCTGATATGTTCACTTTAGATTAAATGAACTAACTTCCTTTGTAGTGGACATATGACTTAACTAAGTTTGTGGTTTGCAAAATTCTATTGGACAAATGGACACACCTACCCACTTTCACAGCTAAAACTTCATCGACTAGAATCTGAGGAAGCATTTCATAATACACTTTTCTTTAAGTAACTTCAATCCAGTCATTTTTTCCTCAAAACTGAAGTTGCTTCTTTAAATAAACATATGCCCTCTTCATTTCTCAGAGTTTCAATTTTGATTGAAGAAGGCTAACTGACAAGCTTTTACTCATAGACCAAAAACACTTACAGCTACTTTTCCAAAGTCAGTGATTTAAAGTTTAGGAACTTAAAAGAAAAGATATTAAAAGACAGGAATAATAGAAATAGGAATTTTTCTTTGTGTATTATTAATATTTTCTCTTTATTAATTGTTCCTTCTTGTTTAGCTCTGGCCTAACAATAATTATGTAACATTTGGGGAAATATATGCAGACCAACAATCCAGAAGTAGAAGTCAAAATGGAGAAAACTTCCACAGCCACCATGTATTTGCCTTTGGTGCTCAGGTAGGACGGAACAAAAGAGAGCCACACACTGCAGAAGATCAGCATGCTGAAGGTGAGACATTTGCCCTCATTGAAACTGCTGGGGAGATTCCTGGAGAAAAATGCTACTGTAAAACTGGCAATTGCCAGAAAGCCCATGTAGCCTAGGACACAATAGAACATAGTAGCTGACCCTTCATTGCATTGTAGTATGATTTCCTCAATTTCTGAATGGATGTCAGTGTCAGGGAAAGGGGGAAATGTGAAGAGCCACACAATGCAGATGCCTGCTTGAATCAGGGAACCAGAAAGAACAATGGAGGTGGCTAACCATTTTCCTACCCATTTCCTCATCCTGGATCCTGGCTTGGTGGCCATGAAAGCCAGAACCACAGTGATGGTTTTTGCCAAAACAGAAGAAACAGCCACTGAGAAGATGATACCAAAGCTAATTTGTCTGAAGAGACATATTATATTACTTGGTACAACAAGAAACTGCAATGAACAAAGGAAGCAGAGGATGAGGGAGATGAGTAGAAGGTAGGTAAGGTTTTGGTTATTGGCCTTGACAATGGGAGTATTGTGATACTTCAAAAATGTTGCGAGTACCACAGTTGTGCAGAGAGTAAAGAAAAGTGCAAGAGTAACTAAACTTACTCCTATTGGCTCTTCATAGGACAAGAAAGATATTTTCTTCAAAATACACGAATCTTGGTCCTTATTCGGATATTGATCTTCGGGGCATTTTAAACAGTCATTCACATCTACAATTTAAATGTATACATTTATAAACATTTGTTTATTAATCATACTATTGTTAGAATCATCACATAGGTTATATATGGAAGCAGGATTGGCCCTGACATTATCTATCTTACTTTTTACTCTTGTATGTGAGACATACAGTAAGAGAACACTTAAGAATATGGGAAAATGTTATTTCCTCATGAATTTATTGCTTATTTAACACATTCTTCAAATTTTGAGGTTTCTATTTGTTTGGTTTTATTGCTATATCAACCATGCCTGCAAGGAGGTAGAGGGTTTGTTGAATTAGTGTAATAAATGTTGGAAATGTTTTAAATGTTGGAAAAACTAAAGAGATCATTGTTGATTTCAGAAAAAGCAGGCACAACCACATTACTCTGTATATTAACGATTCACCTGTAGAGATGTTTAGCAGCATCAGATTTCTGGGTATGCAGCTAATGAGTAGGCTGGTTTGGTCACTCAACATCAAGACACTGGTGAAGTGGGCACAGCAGCATCTGCATTTTCTATATTACATGAGAAAAGTACATCTTCTTTCCCCTGTCCTTACCACTTTCTATAAAGGGAGGATCGAGAACATCCTGTCATAGTGCAGATTTGGAATATCATATTATCTGGTTTGGAAGCATTACTGCATCAGAACGGAAGGTGATGCAGACAGTGATGAGGATGGCAGAAAAGATTATTGGCAGTTCATTCCCTTCTATCCAGGATATAATATATAAGCATTGCTTGAGCAGCGTCTGCTGTATTGTCGAGGACCCTACCTTCATGGTCTGTTTTCCTTGTAGAGGAAAACAGGGAGGAGGCTTCATGGTATCCAAAGCAGAACAACCAGATTCAGCCACAGTTTTGTTCCAAACTTGAACCCTCAAATTTCCTCTTTCCGTTATGTATTCAAGATGGATAGTGATTAATATGTATATGTATTTATATGTAAGGGTATAGGTATATGTACATACATATGTATGTATATAGCATGTTTGTATGTATGCTATGTATGTGTACATTTTTGAGAGCAGGCAACAGAATTTCATTTTACTGGGCCCACAGTAAAAAATGACAATAAAGATTATCTTATCTTATCTATCTTCAACATTGTCTTCCTTTGAAATGATTTATGTTTAATATTCCTCTATCTGTATACTTCTGTATGATACAACAAAATTAATGCTCACATTCATGAATACAATTTTACTGAAGGAAAAAGAAGAAACGAATCCCTTATTCTCTTTACATTAAAAATTTCTGAAGTTTTCTTAATAGCAATATCACTTAGACTTACAGTATATATTGCTTCACAGTGCTTTACAGCCCTCTCCAAGTGATTTACAGAGTCAGCATATTACCCCCAACAATCTGGGTCCTCATTTTACCAACCTTGTAAGGATGGAAGGCTGAGTCAACCTTGAGCCCGGTGATATTCAAACTGCCAAACTGTTGTCAGCCGGCAGTCAGCAGAAATAGCCTCAGTACTGCATTCTAACCACTGTGCCACTAGGGCTCATAACAAAGTAGAAAAGATTTTGCAAAGGTTAAAGTGATATTATTTTTTTTTTAAAGGAGACTATAATCCCAGAAACAAAAAGCTTTCTCATCTAGTAACTGCCCTGGACAGTGACTGCTCAAAGTTAGGACAGTGATAAAAAACTGTGTACAATCTTTGCAGCATATGTCTTTCAGACATATATTTGCCATTACAGTTAGTTGATGCTATGCCTGACCCATTCTCCCCCTCCTACTCAGAGCAGAATCATTGTTTGAAGAAGCTGCCCATTTCTGCCGTCCTGCAACTGCTAATCAACTCTGGACCTTAAGTAGTTGATTAGAAATATCCACAGGACTCACACTGCTGCCTTACACTGAGAGATCCTAATCAGTTCAACACTAAACACTTTTATTTTACCCCAGGTGGCCCCTGGCTCATAGTAACCACTATACTAGGCAAGTCACCAGTTCAACTGTCTTCCTTTCCATGTTGTTGCCTGCTATTGCTCTTATATTCCTTTTCTCTCCATTGAATGTAAATACAAATATCAAGTCTCTTGCTAATTATCCCATCATTGTAAAGAACGGAGGGATGGGGAAAAGGGCTATAGATAATCAATATTTAGTGACTGCCTTGTTTAGCAGTCATTCCCAGTTACAATAGCAATAAAAAAGGAACTTTGTCACTTATTCTTTCATTGATGACCTATATTTGCAGGTCTATAGAAAAAAGTTCTTACAATGAAATAACATTGTAAGAACAGTTGCTTTACTTAATGACTGACTGGCAAGTCCCAATTGTGGCCACTAAATGAGAAGAACCTGTATTTTTAAAATCAAGTCTATTAATTCCTTTGAATTTTGTAAAATACTTAAATATGTTCTTAAAGGGAAGTTCTATATAAAAGTTTTAGATAAATCCAAAAACAAATCAATGTATCCTGGAAATGATATATTCTGGGTTACTTAGGCCCCAGCTCAAATGAAGACTTTTCAATTTCCACCAGCAAAAATCTTTAAACCCTTAACTCTGCCTGAGGTTTTTCTTTGAAAGGATTGGGGAATCCTTCTTTATGGAAGAGGAAAAATATCCTAATTAATAAAAATATAATACTTATATGTTCATGGATCTGTTTGGGGTGACCTGCAGAACAATAAGAAAATTTGGTTAGAATGTCTCTTACCCTTCTGGCTGGACATTTTTTCGTTGGGACATGGGAGGCAATCATAGCAGCAAAAAGGCTTCTCCTCCTGCTTTTTCTTAAAATATCCAGGTAGGCAGCTTTCGGTACACACAGAAACAGGTATAGTCTGGTCGATAAATGAAGGAAGCAAAATATTAATCATACATTTGGAAAAAAAAGTTGAAAAATCATGGTTGATTGTTGTTCTACAAATAAAGAATTCCAGTTGCAAGAATTCGAGTTTTTTTTTATCAGTCACATTACCAAAACTATTCCAGACTGAATTCTTTTTTTTCAGTTCTACCAATTATATAAGCAACCTCAGACACACAGACCATTTCCTAGTGCTGAAATTATTTCAGTGGGACTCAAAATGCACTTCAATTTTGCTCAGGACATTGAAAACTATCCATTCTTACTGTTGAATAATGCAAATAATTAATTATAATTAAATAATTATAATGCAAATAACTAAATATAATTAAATAATTAAAGGAAAATATATTTTTCAAAGTTATTTAAATAAAAACGAATTTATTGTAAAATACTATGAAACATTTGAAAGAGATCTATAAGTAGGTGATGGTTCTAGAGCTAGTAGATATCATATTGAAAAGAGATGAGAAATGTTGAATAAAACTGCAGATCTAGGGATAAACAATACCCAACTGACAATAATCACATTTATACACAATGGTAAAAACTATTAAAATTATCACTACAAATTTAGATTTTAAAATAGTAATTCTAAGTAGTTAACTAACAAATTAAAAAAGGAAAGATAATGAATAATTAAATTATTTTTCTTTAATTCCCTAATGTGAAAATAGTTTGCAATACTAAAGAAATTGTTTTATGTTTTAAGGTTGTGCAACGAGTGATACAGAGATAGATAAATATGTCTTTCAAACTTTAAATAAATTCTATTTAACCCAGTGGTAGGATTCAACTGGTTTGCATTGGTTTGGCAGAATCATTACCTAATTTTTTGTTTAGTTTGGCAAACTAGTTTCAAAAGCCTGATTGGTTTGTAAGCCTTTCCCCTTTTCTTGGAAACAACTTCATTTTCCCCCACCACCAACCCCAACTTTTTAGCCTCTCTATCAGGAACTGCAAAGTTTGGGCTGGCGTGACCAGTTCTTCTTTCAGTGTGCAGCCACCATGTTCCAGTTCCAGGAAGCGCTCTCATAGTTCCAGCTCATTGCACCAAGATCTGCAGCCATGAGTGGTGGCAGTGGAGCAATCAGTGCAATGAGCTTCAAGGCGTGCAGCTGGAGGAAGAGGACGAAATGGGTTGAGGAAGTGTGGAAAATTTTCCTGGGCTGAAGCCACACCTAGACCTACAAGGAATGGCACCCAGCCCACAGCATCTGGAGGGTCTTCTTCTCCCCCCCCCAGCTAAACAGGAGGCACCTCCACCCACGTCCTGCAGCAGCCTGGATCCAGAACCTATGAAAACCCAAGAGGAATTTGGCAGCAGCTTGCCCGCGCATTCCTTGACCCAGACAGCTTGGAGCTGGGGCACCTCAGGGCCTGTGCCAGTCAGCAGGGCATACTAGACAGGATTGGCAATACCAAAGCCAGCCTGGTGTCTAGCAAGAAGGTGAAGTTGGCGAAGGAGGAAGGTGAGTGGCAGCCCCAGCAGCAATAAGGGCCTTTTCTAAACTTGGCCTGAATGCTGCAGGACCAGTCTCTACCTTGATCCTCCAACTTCTACCAGCCAAAGATGCCGAGCAGCCCAAAGTGAACTGCAGACAAGGTGATGGTAAGCTGAGCATAATGTGCCTCCACCAGAGATTCATAACTGCAAACTTCTCCTTGCAGAGAAGCAGAGCCTGAATAAGCCCCTCTCTGGGTAGAAGAATTCAGTACTGCTTATCTCCTCAATGGTGGGACTTTAGCAGTTAGGACAGTGCAATGAGCCTCAAGGCCTGCAGTCATGAGCGGCAGCAGCGGCATAACCACTGTGATGAGCCTTGAGGCCTTGATGAGCAGTGGTCCCTGCACGATGCACCATGTGGTGTGCAGCCACAATTGGCTGCAGAAGAACTCAGGCAGTGGTGCAGCAGATGTTGGGGCATGAGAGGTCTGGCTACAGCAGTCCTAAGGTAAGTGGGTGCAGGGCGCCTGGGGCAGCTCCACCCTCACCCCCACCCTAGCTTGATTTCTACATGTGTGCCAGGTATTATTTAATATTTTTCATTAATATCTTAAAACTCTTTCTTATAACATAATTTATTTTTGTGTACCTCTTATTTAAGTATTAAATGCATGAAATAATAAACTAACTTTCAGTATATCATTTTTTTATACTTAAAATAGTCATTGCGGTAGAGAACCAGTTGTTAAATTGATTTAACCCCATCAATGAATTTAAAAATTAAAGTTTATCTAGTATTATTTAATATTAAAATTATTTTTGGAATTCCTTAATTACATTTGATAAACTTAAAGGTAAATTTGATAAATTTCAATGTGTCATCAAATTTAAAAAAAAATATAAAACATAATGATTATTAGCTCATAAACTAAGATTAGCTTATAGAAAAAAATTGCAAAAATATTTATAACATTCATTGGTTATAAATATTAATACAAAATAATTTCCCCCAAGAGGAACTTCCCCCAAGATAACATGTTGAGTGGTGGGTCAATCTGTTTTTCCTGCCAATAAACAGCTGATGTTGCTGCCAAAGCAGGATCTTTGGTAACCTGCTCCCTAGAACTGAATGGGAGGTGCAAATGTACAAGTACAGTTTAGGTGAAACCTGGCTCAAAAACGGTAACTGTGAGAGGGAACTTGGAGTCTTAGTGGATAATCACTTAAACATGAGTCAGAAGTGTGCAGCAGAAGCCCCAAAAATCAAATACATTTCTTGGTTGTATAAACAGAGGCATAGAATCAAAATCACATGAATTATTAGTACTGCTTTATAAATCCGTACTAAGACTCCAGTTTTTGTCACCACATTACAAAAAAGATGTTGAGACTTTGGAAAAAGTGCAAAGAAAAGCAACTAAGATGTTTAAAGACCTGGAGACTAAATCACATGAAGAAATGTTGTAGGATTTGGGTTTGGCTAGTCTAGAAAAAAGAAGGACTAGGGCTGACATGATAGCAATATTCTAGTATTTGAGAGGTTGCCATAAAGAGGAGGGAGTCAACTGATTTCCCAAAGGAGGACAGGACAGGAAACAATGGATGGAAACTAACAAGGAGAGAAGCAATTTGGAGAAACTTCCTAACATTGAGGACAATTAACCAGAGGAGCAGCTTACCATCAGAAGTTGTGTGTGCTTCATTCCTGGAAGTTTTTAAAGAGAGACTAGACAGTCGCTTTTTTGAAATGGTATAGGGTCTCTTGCTTAAGCATGGGATTGGACTAGATACAGGGCTTTTCAACCTTTTCACCAACTATACCACTTTTAGGATATGGCAATATTCAAGTATCACCTAGCAAGGTGTCAAAAACTTGACCCAAAAGTTGCAATTGCACTGAAATGACTTATGACCATTTTCACACTTATGACCATTGCAGCATGCCCAGGGTCATATGATTTATATTTGGATGCTTGGCAACTGATTCATATTTATGATGGTCACAGTGTCCCAGGGTCATGTGATCATGTTTTGCAACCTTTTGACAAGCAGAGTCAATGGTAGGGCTGCTGGTGGCCAAGTGCTAAGGCGAGACTTCCTTCCCTCCCTCCTTCCTTGCCTCCCTCTTTCCCATGTCCACCTCCTTCTGAAGTAAGAATTTGAAATACCCCCCCATATTTTCTCTCTTCCATATATTCATCAAAAGCCTCCTGAGACAGAAAAGATAAACTGCTGAGTGAACTAGCTTAAAAAGATATATTCCCCTTTAAGAATTAGCTACTAGCTAGAAAGGAAAGTTAAGGAGTGCAGTTGGCACTTAAGGAAGAAAAAAAATGTAAATAAGTACTTATATATAATGGTACACTGGAGAAATAAATATGTATTTATTGTAGAAATAAAATTTAAAAATTAACAAACTTTTCCTATATTTTCCTATATTTGTATGTATAATGAATCCTAGATGGATAAACCTACAAGTAAAATGTAATGTTTACAAACTATACATTGCCATTATATACATGTATGTTCATTACAGTTCTTCAGATGAGGGTGTACTTTCTAGTCACTCTTAACTACTAACAACTGCCTAGATTAATCCCTGAAGTTTTCTTTGAAATATTTTTGGAAATGTTTTAACTTGATCTTTCCAGGACTAAGAGAAAGTGATTGGCCCAATGTCACCAAGTTGGCTTCTTTCCTAAGGCAAGATTCTAGTCTTGTGACTTAAAAACTACATCACATTTGCCCTCATTATTACAATAATATAGGCTTAAATGCTATATAACTTCCTTGACTTTTAAGATGAAAAATAACATACTAATCTATTTTATAATCTATACTAATTTACAGTGCTTTTTTGTAAAAAAAAAAAAAAAAGTGCAGGAACTCACACATGTCATATAACCCGCCTTGCCTACCCTACAAGGTTCCATCCAAAAAAGGTGCCAGAACTCTGTTCTGGACATTCTATGACAAAAAAAGCCCCGCTAATTTATGTAATCATTTAAATATCCTTTATGTTCAGAAAGCTTGAATCCTTTGCTTGTTCAGAATTCTTTCCAATATTTGAAATTCTTTCTAATGTTAAAGGATATAGAATAGAATAGAATATAGAATATCCTTTAGGATATTATCCCAATCATTTCAAATAAAATAACCTATGTGCAGAACCTACTTGGTTGAAAGTGCTGGGCCAGCTGATGGTTTCCTCATGGATGGTGAACATTTTGTCTTCAGCAGCCCAGGGATCCAACTTCCCAACTTTCACTCGATGGAACGACTGGTTGGGAAAAGTGACCCAGTTTTCAATCTCCAGTCCTGTAATCAATTTTCCATTATGATCAAAGGAAATTTCATCCCCAACACTATTGTTAAATGAGACTCTTTTCAAAAAGAAATGAAGCTGAATATGAAATAAATATGTGAAAAGAAAGCAAGATTAATGTGTAGAACTATAAAGTAATAAAGGTGAGATAAAATGTAATAGGTAAATAAATAGCATATCTATCTTTTTACTTGAAACATGTTACATAACTGAAAGACTGTTCCTATTTTAAACTGCTAGACTTTTTCTCAAGCCTAATTATCTGTGATTCTTGATCCAAAATCATTCTTATGGTCTACTGACTTTCATATAATCAAATAAATTACAAACAATCCAGTCCAAGAAAACTATACATACTTTAATATGCAAAAATCTAACTCATTTGAAAAAAACTTTCCCAAATAAATAAAATCAAGCTATTATTTTTACAATTACTAACAAACTTGCTTCCTGTTGTTATTAGAGACAAACTAATCAGGGAAGATCAGATCACTTTAATATCCAACTTTTTTTTAATTGAAAATTTTTAAAATTTTTACAAAAACAACCCTACCCAACCCACCCCAACCCTCCCACTCCCTCCCCCAACCTTCCCAGAGCTGAATATAGGCTTAATTAAAATTTCATAAAGTCTTAAAAAAAATATAAACCATAAATAAGTCTAAATACATTACTTAAACAACTTATAAAATGATTAACAATAAAAAAAATTAATATCCAACTTTTAAAATTAATTAACTACACAAAAGAATAGTCAAGGCTTGAATTTACTTGTCAGCATTACCCTTCTGTAATGCTAAAAAGTCTGCCATTGATGCATTTGGACACAGTAAATTTTAAAAAAGCAACAAAAAGGAAACGGCCCATTTTCATTGTTTCTATAAGATGTTATGATGGGAAGAGGAAAGTAAAGATTTTATTACTGAAAATTTCTTCTCAAATGAGAATGATATTTATAATCAGGTTATTAAATCATACAGGGATATATAGCATAATTAGGGGAGGAATTGAAGGGAGGCAAAATAAACTGAGAGCAGTTTGAATCAGATTGAAAACACATAGGAGAAGAAAGATCCCTTTCCCATAGGATAAGAAAGAAAGAGATGGAAAATGCTGTAGAAGTGAGGAATGATTGCATCAGACCCAAGAGATTGAAAAATGGAGAGATTGGTAATAGATTACCAATTGACCTATCTGTTCTCTTTCTTCTCTTTCCTTCTCCCTCCCTGTAGGTGTCCCACTTTTTCCCTTAAACAGCCACCTTGTTAATTGCCAGATCTGATTTCTTTTCTTTCTTTTTTCTTCTTTTTTCCCAATGAATGTCTCACCCCCTTTTTTAAAAAAAAAACAGAAACATTTTTTTTCTTTGCTAAATTGCATTATTTCTCAAATTTTCTAGATATTATGTACAATCTGTCTTTACAGCATTCTTTAAAAATTCTGATGACTTCGTATTTTTTGCTTCTCTGCACAATCCACAAGAGTGTGCTTTTCATTACATTTTATGGGTTTCATTCCATTTTCTGTGTTCGGAGGAGAAATACAATTTGGATGGAAACTGGTTAGTTTCTCTCTTTTCTCTATCATGGATACACTTGTTACAATAAATAATACCTATCTATGGGGAGAGGGGAGGGAGAGAATAAGCAAGGGACATATCCCAACAGCTACAGCCTACAAGGAAGAGTTAGAGAATAAATGAGCTGGGATGTTCAAAGAAAATACACTAAGATTACCAATTCCACAAAAGAAGAGAAAGAGATAAAGAAGAAACCTAGAAGATTTTACTAATTTCCATCTACATATCACAGCTCTTTGGGGTCACAAATTTGTGAGATGCTGGAGAGTCAGTGGAATTTTTGATTATTTGATTATTCATAAAATTACCTGCCATGGCTGGAGATCCTGAACACCAAACTTTTTGCCACTCAACGTTTGCCTATGTTGTTGGCCAAAGTTTATGGCATGTAAAGCATGTGCCACAGCATACACTGCATTGTATATACTGTAACTATGACTGGTCATCCTCATTTCAAAAAAGGCCCCAGGGAGGTTCTCCAGTTTCTCCCTCCCTGTACAGATATCCTCTGTTTCCTCATTCACAGACAGATTTGGAAACACACAGCCAAATGCTTGCTCCCATACTTCTTTAAGGAAACCATCATCTTTGAAGGAAAAATGGTTTCTTGTCTGAAGAAAATGTTGGAATCCTACAACTTCATTTGAATAAGGTGCAAAGCTCAGAGCACCATGGAGGACTTGGATATCCCAGCTCTTCTGGTAAAAGAATGATGCAAGACCCATTTGGGAAGCCATGATCCACACCTTACCTTTCAGTTTTATAGAAACTGTTTCCATTTCAGGTAGATATAATAACCACCTTAAATTTGAAAGATTATTATCATTGATTATGACAGTTTGAGCTTTGCTAGTAACAAGAAGGTGAAAAGTTTCAACAAGTAGTTCCATACCCTCTACAGCATTGGTGAAATACACTGGTCTGAACTGCTCCAAGAAGGCAACACAGATTTTATGGAGAGCAAACAATGAAAAGATTAGGTGTTGAAATGTTCTTCCACCAAGTCCATAAACAAGTATCCCAACCCAAGTCCATCTGAAGTACAAAAGTAGTTGAATAATTCCCATATAATGAAGTCTTTCACCTGGAACCATGTGATAATAGAAAGGGCTTTCATTTGGAGAAGAGCCAGTTGAGAACTAGAAATGAAAATTAGATACATAAATAAAAAAAATCCCAATTGCAGTTGATGAGTGATGACTACCACTAGGAGAAGAAAGCCCTACCTATGCCTCCTTGAGCAGCGAATGAAAACAAGATATCAATCCAATGACATCATAATATTTAAATAAAATTCACAAACATTGTATCGTTTTTTTTCTCAACAAATCAGCAACTTACATGTAATTTTAATGATCATTCATGGCTAATCATTGAAACTCTATTTTATTTTACTTTATTTTAAGATATTTTATAAATATATTTTCTTAAACAAGCTCTATACAGAATATTAATTATATCTTATTGTCTTGCTTTCCACTACAATCTGAAAAGAAAAATCCAATCCATCTTACCTGTGGGACTTTGTAAGTATCTAAAAAATCTACCAAAGAGACTCCTGGATCAATAATTCCAACAACTGATATAAGTTTGTTCAAGTTGCCACACTTGTAATTGGGAATGAATCTGTTCTGACTATAGAAAAATTCCATTTTGGACTGATAGCCAGCATACCTATCACAGATCCTGAAGCCCAGGGTGATATTAGCTAAGAGTTGGTGCTCTTCATTGATCTTCTTCACAGCAAATATCATAGTCAAAATATGCTGATAATACTTAGTCAGGACTCTGCAAAGAGAATTAGATACTGTTATCAAAAGGACTCAAAGGTGCAATATGGCTGTACATACTCCCTTGAAAAAAAGTTTTAGAAACCAATAATAACTCTTTCATATTATCTGATTAATAGATTTATCTCCGTTAAAAATGATGTTAGAAAGTAATAGTCACCACTTCACACTAATTGATTGATATATTCTTACTCACTATAAAAATGGCAGAAATATATTTGAGAGAAATAATCACAGGGTTTTTTTAATCTCTTCGTTATTTGTAATGAATTCTAATTATGTGAAGCCTTCCAGAATCATTGTCAGGCATGTAACATGGACATTAGCACTGTATAACTGGAAAATAAAATTTCATTAATTATTTTTTCTAATACATGAGGTGCTTCCTTTTAATCATCTGGAAAAAAATTCAGTTCAGAAGAATATTATCCCTGCAACAAAACTGCATGTCTTATTTACTGAGATAAAATATGTTATATCTCTGACTGAAGAGATATCATCCCTATGGTTCTATCACATTATCTGTATAGTCTGTTTTAGAGATGCTGTAATTCCTATCTCAAGAAAAGGGACTGGAGTGATTGTTTCTTGTCAGAATCTACTAGCAATGATTAGTTTAATTTTCTTCTAATTTTATTTAAGGAACATAGACTCTAGCTGTTGGTTTCCTTCAATCATTCAATGTTAGAAAGATTATTTTTAATCACAGTAGTTCATTATGATACATATGAGAAAATAATTTTATCTTCATTAATATAGGCTATTGAAATAAAATTATGTCTTACAAGGATTCACTAATAAGAGAATGATGAGGATCTTCCTCAAAGCTTTCTGCATTTCTAGTTGTGAAGACAAAAGAGGTGATGGCACCAATGACTAGGTCACCTGATTGGAAATATTTGTGATCAATCGGGATAGGATCTTGGATGCTGCATTTTATTGATGGAGTCTTGCAAGTCATACATGGCAATAGCAGTAGAAGAAGAGTCAATATCATCATAATAAATATTAATCCCAGTTTAACAAAGCTTTTCTAATTTCTCTATAATGTTTTAGTGTCTCCAAAATTGCACAAGCTTGAACTGCATCTCTCTCTGTTTCTCACATGACTTTCATTCTGTACCAAATCTTATAATTCTGGTTATTATTTCTTATTATTTTACCTGTCCCTAAATTCTAAAAAAAAATAATTGCCATCAGCACTTAGTCATCATTCTTCCAAATGTAATAATTTGTTTGTCAAGGTGTTGAGGCACAGCAAAGTTAATAATAGTCTTTTTGATAATTATAAGGGGAAGAGGAAATTGCAAAGTTTAAAATTTCATCCTTTTAATTAAATAGCAAGAGTGGGATGAATCACAATAATCACAGAATGAAGAAAAAGTTTTTGAGATGAGAGGAAGTTAAACATGGCAAAGATGGAGACATTCGTAATGTCTCTAAATTAAGGCCAAAAGTATTGTGCCCCCCCCCCAAAAAAAAACCAAACATGTTTCAGTGAAGGTGAGGGCATAAATATAGTTCCTTATTATATTTTTTTTCCTTGTAGTTTCATAGAATCATAGTGTTGGAAAGGAGATCTTCTAGTCCAACCCCCTGTTCAAATAGGAAATCCTATACCATTTCAAACAAATGGATATCCAGCCTCTTCTTAAAAACCTCTAGTGTTGGAGCATTCACAACTTTTGGAGGCAAGTTGTTCCAGCGGTTAATTGTTCTAATTGTCAGGAAATTCACTTCTGTTCCCTTCCGCGTGCTTTTCCCTCCTTCTCTCAGTCTCATCTGAATTAACTCTAAAAATACCAGACAGTTCTGCATATTTTGTCAAAGCAAGAATATTCAATATTAGCAGAGTTGACATCCGCCCCCCTTACAAAAAGGATAGGTCCTGTATGTGAATAAAAGCATAGATCAGGGTTTATTTCTTGGTTTGTTGGAGTGTTTTGCATGAAACCTTGTGACGAGTCTGTCAGCTTTCACCTCACTGGATTTCACCCAGGTGGCTTCAGACAATGGGTATCCCTTCCATTGTACTAGGTACTGCAATTTCCCTTTAAAAATTCTAGAGTCAAGAATACGTTTCACTTCATACTGGGTCTGTCCCACAACTATGAGGGGCCCTGATGCCTTCTTAGGGGGATGTCTTAAAGTGGAGCCCCAATAAGGTTTCAACAAGCTGCAATGGAAGACTGGGTGAATTCTCCCTAAAAGTCTAGGGAGTTTTAGGTCTATGGTGACTGGATAGATGATCCTTACTATGGGGAAAGGCCCCAAGAATTTTGGTCTCAATTTTTTGCTGGGCAATTTGAGGCGTAAATATTTAATTGACAGATAAACCTTTTCCCCAACTTGGAATGTTCTTTGGGGAGCCCTCTTTTTATCAGACTACTTTTTATAGGTTTCAAAAGTCTTTTTCAAAGCAGTCTTTCTGTTTCTCCAAACTTCTTCCCACCCTCTGACCCATTGGTCAAGTGTCTGGGAAGTGGAGGGCACCTGAGGATATTCAGGTATTGGGCTGAACTCTTTTCCTGTGGCTACTGTGAAAGGCATGTAGCCAGTGCTGCTATGCACAGAATTATTGTATGCCACCTCCACAAAAGGGAGGAGGTCAGTCCAATTTGTCTGTTGGTAGGAAACATAGCATCTAAAATATTGCTCCACCATTTTGTTAGCAGATTCTGCTGCCCCACTGGTGGCTGGATGAAAAGCAGATGATAAGCCTTGAGATGATCCAATTAATTTAAGAAAACTCCTCCAAAACTTCGCTGTGAACTGCACCCCCCTGTCCAAAATTATTCGCTTAGGAGCGCCATGCAGCTCATAGATGTGTTTCAGGAACAGTTTGGTCAGCCGTTGAGCAGATGGGAGTCCTTTGCAGGCAATGAAATGAGCCTGTTTCGAGAACAGGTCTATCAGAGTCCAGATGACAGTATTTCCTCTATTTTCAGTTAGGTCTACTATAAAGTCCATAGCTATTTCTTCCCATGGTTGAGAAGGGTCTGCCACCAGTTGCAGTAACCCAGGGGTTTTCCCTCAGATTCTTTTCATTGTGGCACATAAAGTACAACTTTTTACATAGTTTTCCACATCCCTTTTCAGCCCCAGCCACCAATGAACGGGTCAATTTTCATTGCTTCTATGGCAGACATGTCAAACACAGATGTGGCCTGCAACATGGTTTCATGTGGCCCGTGAAGCCATCCTGGAAATATTGAAGGAATGGCCTCCACTTGGCCCTGGCCCAGGCCAGCCAGGAGCCAATGTACAATTTTGTGGTGGCCATCTATGCTGAAACGTATTCAGTATTAGTGTCAACGCTGCTAATATTGAATATTCTTGCTTTGACAAAATATGCAGAACTGTCTGGTATTTTTACAGTTAATTCAGATGAGACTAAGAAAAGGAGGGAAAAGCATGCGGAAGGAAACGGAAGTGAATCTTTGCCCTCCAAGTTAATTGGAAGATGTGAATCATGACCCCAAAATAGGGAAGGGGAATGTTATGTGCAAAGGAAGGGAAATTCAGATCTTAGCATCCTCCATGACGTGCTGACACTCTGTCACACTAATAAAGGCTTTTTAGGTTAAACAATGCCTGAAAGTTCTTTGAAGTGTTTCATTAGTCAGACACATGACACTTAGCTCCACAAGGCCATCTGGAAACAGTGAGGAACTAGTCCCTGCCGCATTGGCCCTGCCCCCTGGGCACGTGCTGGGGAGATATCATCCTTTGTGAGAAATGAAGAAATGCACCATCGCCTGGAAGTGGCCAGCAAATGGCCCTCGCCTGCTTCATATATCCGGCTTGATGGGCTCCGGGGGAGGGGTTTCGGCAGGCAGAGGGGTGCTCTCCTAACAACCCCAAGAGGCGTGAATCCATTCAGCCCCCAGACTGCCCAATTTCAGCAGGCAGCAAGGTACAAAGCTAGCGAGCTTCACACTACCCAGTCAGTCTCTCAGCGCTGTGAGGAGAGTGCCCCATTGCCTGCCAAAACTGGGCAGGCTGGGAGCTGGGTGGAATTGCACAGGTAACATCAACTCTCATGTTGATCATGGCGTCCCCTCTCCCAAAAGCCCATCAACCCAGATATGTGAAGTAGGCGAGGAACATGTCCTGGCCACTTCCAGGCTATGGTGCATTTCTTCATTCCTCATGAAAGGTGACACCTCCCCAGCTGCATTTCTTGCCTGTTTTTCTCCCTCCCTCATCTCAAATATTTTCCCACCACTCTGTTCTGGAAGGAAGGAAGGAAGGAAGGAAGGAAGGAAGGAAGGAAGGAAGGAAGGAAGGAAGGAAGGAAGGAAGGAAGGAAAGAGAGGGAGGGTCTGAGTGAAGTCCTGTCTTAGTCCTGCCCTGCTGCCCTTTCATCATCTCCTTGCCCCCTTCCTCCTGGCCTATCCTGGGGGGTCTCCCATCCTATTGCTAAGGAAGCTTTGGATGCAAAGCAGGATCTCCTCCCTTGGAGAGGGAGTGGGCCTCCCTCTGACTTTGCCCTCATACCCATCATGAGCAACCTGGCTAAGGAAAACAAGCACAGCAGCAGCAGCCTTGAGGAGGAGGTAGGTGCAGATGGGCACCCCCTTGTGGAAGTGGGGCTGGGCTTGGTGCCGCAGGTGCTTAAGGGCCAGCCTGGGCATTTGACCTCTGCTGCTCAGGGCTCCAGGAAGCCCACGGCACCATCCAGCCACCCCTTGCATGGTCTGAGAGAAACAGTGAGGCTCTTCCAATGGACCACGCCTTGGCACTTGCCCCAGTCCTACCCCCTTCTGCCAGAGACCCTCAGATATGTCCCACTCCTACCTAGGCCCCCAAAGTCACCCTTGTTGCAAACAATGAAAAGCTGGCCATGCCTGCCCAGCAGGCCACACCCACTCCAGCCATGCCCACCCACAGGCTACGCCCACCCTGGCCACACCTACCTAGCCCCCCGAGGACATCCACAATGCTGATGTGGCCCTCAATGAAATTGAGTTTGACATCCCTGTTCTATGGCATGCTATGATGGGAAAAGGAAGATAAAGACTTGTTACTGAAGATTTCTACTCAAATGAGAGTGATATTTATACTTAGGTTATTAAATCATACAAGGATGTGTAGAATGATTAAGTCAGGAATTGAAGAGAGGCAAAATAAATTGAGAGCAATTAAAATCAGATTGAGAATACCCAGAAGGACTCTGGAAGATACTACAGATGTGGCCAGAGGAAATGATTGCTCTGGACATTAGACCAAGAGATTGAAAAGTAGAGAAACTGCCAATTATCATATCTGTTCTCTCTCTTTCCCTCTCTCACTGTATGTCTCCCACCTTCTCTTCTTTAAAATAGTCTGCTTGCTAATTGCCATAACTGATTTTCTCTTTCTCCTTCTGTCTTTTTCTCTTTCTTTCTCTTACTGAATGGTATAAAAAAGATGTTGAGACTCTAGAAAGAGTGCAGAGAAGAGCAACAAAAATAATTAGGGGGCTGGGATTAAACATATGAAGAACTGTTGCAGGTATTGGGTAAGTCTAATTAAATGAAAACAAGGACTAGATTTGACATGATACTGGTGTTCTAATATCTAAGGAGATGCCACAAAGAAGAGGGGGGGAGTCAATGTATTCTCCAGAGCACCTGAAGGCAGGATGAGAAACAATGGATAGAAGCTAACCAAGAAGAGAACCAATCTAGAACTAAAGAGACATTTCTTGACAGATAGAATAATTAATCAGTGGAAGGAGTTGCCTCCAGAAATTGTGGGTGCTCCAACACTGGAGGCTATTAAGAATGAACAACTATTTGTCTCAAATGGTATAGAGTTTCTTGCTTGAGCATGATCCTTTTCTCATACAATGTGGAAGGGATACAAATATGCTTGGACTGATCTAAATCTCATAGATAAATAAAAACTTTATTCTGTATCCCAAAGCACACCATTCCTGCTGCTCTGTCATTTATAGTGTCCAAGTTATTGGATCCTAGTTTTCTTGCACAAAGGCAGTGCCTTGGAATTATTTTCATCTTGAAGAAACAAATAGAAACTTCTAGTTATTCCTGATCCTAAACAGGTGAAAACGTTTTCATTGTATTCTCATTGGGCCCATTGATTGAAATACTTCTGAGTATGGTTTTTAAAAGGGAGAATTAACCTGGGCAAGCAACTCTTGTCATCTTGACAGGAATAAAGCTTCTTATAGAAAATAGTTCCCATATATGTGAGTTAGGAGGTAGGAAAAGCATCTCTGTACTAGCTAAGCCTATCAGGAAAAGACCTAGAAAGTCAGTGAGCTGGGAATTTTAAAGCAGAAAGAAAATACTTTTCCAATTCCAGAAATGGAAATAAAGAGATAAAGCAGAAACTTGTAAGACATTACAGTTAGTCCTCAGTTTAACACTACAAATGGGAACAGAAACTTTATTGCTAAGCAATGTAGTCATTAAGTAAATCACCTCTAAATTTAAAACCTTTTTTGTCATGATTGATTTGTGAATAAAGTGGTCCTTAGGTGAATCACATATTATAATTTTGTTGTAATTGTTGGAATACATAGATAGCCTTTATGAAAGAGAGAGAAAAATCTGCCTAGGAAGCTATCGGACAAGACAGAGAGAGGAAACCACAATTGTTCAACGGTCAAAGAACTAAACGTAGGAAGCACTTAACTGTTTCAAACTGACAGGCATGGTGTTTGTCTTTCAAACCTGCAAGATTCTGTTAATGTAGCCTTACAATAATGTAGATTTAGCTCATTTAGTTATGATCATATGACAACTGGGATGTTACTGCTATGGTAAGTGCAATAACCGTTAGTAAGCAAGCCACTGTCTTCAGTGCCATCATAACTTCAAATAGATGTTAAACAAATATTTGCAAATCAAGAACTTCCTTTACTAACTTCCCATATACATCTTACTACTCTTTGGGATCAGAAGGCTGTAAGATGCTGAAGATTCAGAGCAATTCAAATCCCATTTCCAATATACTTGATCATTGATAGAATTACCCTCCATGGCTGAAGATCCTGAAGACTGAGTTTTCTGCTGCTCAAATTTCCCCTGTGTTTTTGGTTCAACTTCATGGCATGTAAAGCATATGCCACTGCATACACTGCATTATATATATTGTAACTATGACTGATCATCCATTTTTCAAAAAAGGTCCCAGGAAGGCTCTCCAAGTTCTCCTTCCCTGTACAGATATCCTCTATTTCTTCATTCACAGACATTTGGAAATACACAGCCAAATGCTTGCTCCCACACATTTTTGACAAAATTCCTCTTTTGAGGAGAAATGGTTTGTTGTCTGAAGAAAATGCTAGAATCTTTCAACTTCATTTGAGTAGGCTGTAAAACTCAGAGCATCATGAAGGAATTGAAGATCCCCGTTCTGGTAAAAGAATGATGCAAGATCCATTTAGGAAGCCGGGATCCACACCTTAACTTTTGGCTTTATAGAAAGTATTTCTATTTCAGATAGGTGTAACAACCATCTAAAATTTAAAAGATGGTTATTATTGATTATGACAACATTGGCTTTGCTTTTAACAAGATGGTGAAGGTTATTTCAAGTGATTTCAGACTATCAAAAATGTGTGGATATGGTTTGCTCTCAATTGTTCTAAGAAGTCGATGCAGATACCATGAAGTGAAAATATTGAGAAGATTAGGTGCTGAAATGTTCTTCCACCAACTCCATAAACAAGTACCCCAACCCAAGTTCATCTAAAGTGTAAGAGTAGTCAAATAATCCCACTGTAATAAAGTTCTTCATCAGGAAGCATACAATAGTAGAATGGGCTTTCATTTGAAAAGGCATCAATAGGGAATTATGGAAAACATTAGATAGGTAAATAGGAAAAAAATAAAGATAAAGAAATATGTGTCATTTCTAAATTAATATTTTGAAATATGTCATCATGAACATCATGTCATCACATAATTTCTGGGCACAAGTTAGTTATGAGATTATTATTGGGTAGATTATCATTGTTTAAATTCAAGAATAGCTTTTTCTTTTATTGAAATATATTGTTCATTGAGATTTATTATCTGAGTACTTTTCAAGTATGGATTCCTTCCTTGTTCATATCTCACAACAACCTTCTTCTTTTAATTTCAATTAGGATGATTCCAACTTCAAATCCCAGCTTCATCCAAAGCTCTGGATGAAAAATGAAAAGATCTTAGTGAAAATCCTCAATCATGATTGTTCAGTGGTTAATTATGACCCACTTTCATAACTAAACCTTCTTCAGCTGATAGATGTAGATTAATATACAGGTGAGGGTATGAGTCTCTCATTGTCACATGTTGTTTCAATTAAAGATCACATTGCTTAATGATGGAGCTTCCAATCCCAACTGTGATTTCTAATTGAGGACTATCTGTATTAGAAGAAAGCCCTATCTTTGACTTCTTGATGAAAGGCAGAATATAAATATAATAATGAAATAAAATATAAATAAATAAAAAGCAGAAACATTATATAGTTTTTTCCCATCACATTAGTAACTACAGGGATCCAACATTCTAGATTAATGGATAACTTTTAATAATCATTAACTTATAAATAGTAACATCAAATTCTGAAACTGATGTTTTATTTTATGATATATTAAATGCATTTCCTTAAATATGATCATTGGAAAATTATAGATGAAAATTAATTATATTTTGAGGTCTTGCAATAACATACAACTAGAAAGACAAAACCATCCATCTTACCTCTGGAACTTTGTAAGTCTCTAAAATATCTACCATATCACTAACAATAGCTGGATCAATAGTCACAACAACCGATATAAGTTTGTTCGGGATGTCACACCTGTAGTTAGGAATTAGTTGTTTCTGACTGGAAGAAAGTTCCATTGAGACATGATATAGGTAGTCACCACCACAACTCTCAAAGATTCTGAAGCCCAAGGTGATATTTGGTAAGAATTGGATGTCTTCATTGATGTTCTTCACAGCAAATATCATGCCAAGATATGCTGATAATATTTAGTCAATACTCTGCAATGGGAATTAAATGCTGAAATCAAATAGAATTCTGCATCTATAAAGGACTGTTGAAAGAAAAATCTTCATCAGGGTCCAGTCCAAGCTAGGAATAAACAAAATGAAGACTGCTTTAGAAAGAAGGTTGTAGTTTATTGAAGAGCAGAACCACAACAGCATGTGGCTCTGGGGCAGCTGACCACACGTTGGTAGGTTTTTATACCTTCTTGAGTTTTGTGTTTGGAATTGTTCCTGTGGCATGATCTTTGATCTGAGGTTCAGTGTGCCCTTTTAGTATTCTGATGGTGGTGGGTTAATCCTATTATGTCCTAAAAGTCATGTCCTGCTTTCCTGGGCTGTGGCTGATGGCTATGTCCTGTGTTGGATTTTTTGGGTGAGGGGTTGTTGGTTCTAGGAATCTTTCTCTTTCTAATCCTATCATCTGTAAGTTTCCTGGCTTTAGTCTTTCTGAAAGGATTATCAAATCTGCATTTCTACAGACCTGGTTTCTACTTTGGGAAGAGAGACTTGGAGGGGTCTGCTTTTTAAAATCTTCTCCATTATTCCTTTGGGGAAATATAATATTCTGCCTTTTTAACATCCCCCAAAATATTACTTTTTCTGGGGGGGGTTGTCTTCTTTGTGCCATTTAGGTGTGAGTGAGACACACTTTTACTGGCACAAGATTAAAATTTGATCTGGTCAGGGAGACTTGATGGGTGCTTCTATGGGTGCTCCAGGATGTGGGGAAACAAGCTTTTAAACTGTTAATGCAGAAAGGGGAAGACACTAATAAAGGCAGCAGAAAAAAGATCCCTGCAGTGGCTCCCAAAAGGAGACCCTTTCAGTCATGAAGGTCTAAAGCCAGGGCAAAGGTTCTGTTAAGTGGAAAAGAAATTTATAGTTCCAATATTCTGTACCAATGATTTTTAGATATTGGATGTCACTTTGAGCTTCCAATCAGCTTTGCACATGCCTCCCAAAATTCTTCACAGCCATGTTTTTGCCTTAGTACATAATTACTGGCTGTCCATTTTCAAGGGTTGCTTCCTGCCTTAGCTCTTAATTTAGTGCATCCAGGTTTGTGATATCCAATTAAGGTTAGCCAGTGTGAAAGTAGGCTATTAATATTTAGGGCTTGAGTTTGGAGATCTCTTTCCTGCTACTTCCTCAGTGAGGGTATATGAATTGTAAATTGCCTGAAGGGGCACAGTTCCCTCCCACATGAAATTTTCAGAAAGGCAAAGGTCTTAATGCCACAGAGCAAGAACCAGCCTGGGGAACTTTACCGAAGGTAGGTGAAGGGGATAGCTTCATTGTGATTCTGAATCATGAATCCATTTAGCTGGCTGATTACATTACATATGAGGCAAGAAAGAAAACCTTACAATGAGTTTCTGTCCTTCCCCCATAGTATTCCTAGTTGTCTTCTGAGGCTTCATGTGGGAGTCAATGGATCCGGGAGTTCTTCCTTTCTCTGCAGCATTCACGGGCATCTCAGTGATGGTAGGGTCTGGGCAGCACATTATCTGAAAAATGAAGTAAAGTATCATATCAATGAAATACCGGTAATAAATAAATGATACAATCTCAAACAAGAAAGAACTACAAAGTTTCATGACAACTTTTTATACATATATTGAAGTCTGCATTTAAAAATTACTCTCTTAATTACTTTACTGCAATTTTTTTTCTAATTGCTATCCTTTTTTTTGCTTTACCTTATTTCAGACTTTTAAGAATTGCTATCATTTATATGCTTCTTGTTTTAGAATACTGTATACCGACACCTGGCAACTATTTTCAAGAATACCCTATTCTCATGCAATTTTTGGAGACTACAGATGCCATACAAGAATGGGGTCTGCTCTTGTACAGCCTCTCCAGATGAACTACAAGAGAACTGTTTTCTTTCATAGCCTCTGAAAGTATCTTGAGAATGGGGCATGCTTTTGTGCGATTTTTGGAGGCTGGGAAGGCAGCAAATACTGGGATGTGATTTTTTGTGTCTTCTTCAGCATCTCAAAGTTACATAAAAATGGGGAGCACTTTTATCCAGTTTTCAGAGGTTTTAGAGACCAATGAATAGCATCCTCTGAACCTGCTTCAAGAATGAAGGGGCCTTGGGTAGGCCACTAGGGCCTGTTAGCATAATACTAACTGAAGATAAGCAGCATGCAGTAGATTCTGGGGATTGCTGGGGAATGGGGATAATCACACAAGGTGGCTGTTCTGAATGGCCATTGTGACATTAGAGATGAAGTCAGGATCTGGGCTTTGATTTTAGCCCATCCTCAATTCTTCTGCTAAGTGCTGCTCTTCAACATGGCTTAGATATGGTGGAGGGGAGAGAAATAGATTTTTTTTTCTTTTGTTTGAGGAAGAGGAGTGACAAGCCAGCAGAATCAAGGTAGACATTTTCTGAATTTTTGATGTTCTCAGCCAAAAATATTTGCCAACACTGGTTTAGAATGTTAAATTGTCCAGTGATTACACTGCCTCTCTAGGGATAATTCTTCAATTTCTCTTCAGTTTTCTATTCATGAGAGATATTGGGAAAAACATCAAGGTAATCTTATTGGGGACTTATTGGCACTGTAACTGATAATAAGATTTCTGATTCTGCTCACATAGCATTCTACATTCGAGGATATCTTTCCCTTCACTAAAATATAGTTTTTGACCAATCCTTGCATTTGCCATTTTTACAGCATCTACAGTCATATGATCATTACAGCTGGTGCACATTTATAACTATTATCAATTCCCATTTAATGGACTTCACAACTGGCTTCCAAGAAGCAGAATTAATGGAGGAACACAGAAGTGAAATCACAAGTGATGTCTTGCTGTATAATCATGATGATTTGGTTAATGACAGAAGCAGAAGTGAGGTTATAGGTCTAGCATAATCATATGATATGTCAATTAACAACCATGGTGCTTAATGACAAAGTTGTAGATCCCAATTGTAATTGGTAAATTAGGACTACCTATAAAAGGCAAAAATAGTACCTATGTCTCCTTGATTACCTGAATGAAAGGCAAGATATAAATATAATAATGGAATTTTTTTTAAAAAAATGCAGAAACAGACTTCCATGAATATGGCTGACTGAATTCATGCTCAGGGAGGGATCCCTGAAGGATTTTTCCCTGGGTTGTAGCTCTTCAGCTACTAACTCAAGGGCTGGCACTTTTTTCAATTTTTATGACTCACCCTGATCAGGCGGAGTCTAAGAATTTCCCCTCAAGACCCTCCAATACAGTTGAAAGCTTGCAAGTGGCTCCTGGAGCCAGACTTTGAAGCTATCCACTGAGGGGGAGGGGCTGTAATCTGTTCATGGTTGAAGAAGCTGATGTTTCAAAATTTACCTTTTAAACCAGGGGTCTTCAAACTTGGCTCTTTTATGACTTTAGGACTTCAACTCCCAGAATTCCTCAGCCAGGCATTCTGGCTGAGGAATTCTGGGAGTTGAAGTCCACAAGTCATAAAAGGGCCAAGTTTGAAGACCCCTGGTTTAAATGTATGTTAAGAAGTTAAAGAAAAAGATGCATTAGAGAGTTTTGATTCTAGAAAAGTGTTTAAAGAAAGTTTAGCTTCTTTAAAAAAAAGTGGGAAAAAAGAAACAGTATTTTTCTCAGTAAGGTCAAAGAAATTAAAATATAGATAACTTTGTAAATAAAAATGGTAATAGTTACAAAGATTATTAGGTGCAAATAGAAATACATACTATTTCCACAGCAAAGAAGATAAAATAGGAATGGTTAAATTGATCATTGTATTCAAAGAGGAGAATATATTTGAGTATGTTTTTTATTTGGATACCAGTTCTGAATTTTGTGCTTGTGGTGAAAAAAAAATGAAACTTTTGACTATTTTGTCGATTAGATAGATTTGTTGTTGTAAAAATGGCTAGTTATATATTAATGTCTAAAAGCAAATAATTGAGGCTGGAATGTTTTTATCTTGTACTGTGATAAAAAAGAGTCCAAAGTCAACACTTTTTCCCCCTTGTACCTCACACCTTCTTTTCCCTCTCCTTTTCCTTCCCTTAATTTCCTGTTTCTATATTTTTTTAATTTTATATATTAAATAATAAAAAATTTAAAAATGCAGAAACATCACTATTTTTCTCATAGCGTTAGCAAGTTATAGGAGAAGATTACAAAAATTCAAAGTTTCTGTACAATAATTAATTATTAACATTAATGGATAATCTTTGAAACTCAATAATAGTCACATCAAATTCTGAGATTGAATTTGTTTTTATTTTATGATATATTAAATATTTTTTTTAATATGGTCCAAAGAGAAATGTATATGAAAGTCAATTATATCTTGAGGTCTTGCAATCTCCTACTGTATATCTGAAAAGACAAAGCAATCCATCTTACCTGTGGAACTTTGTAAGAGTCTAAAATATCTACCATATCAAAATTGATTTCAGGATCAATAGTTCCAACAACTGATTTGTTCAGAATGCCACATTTGTAATTGGGAATGAATTGCTTCTGACCTGAAAAAAGTTCCAATATGGCATGATATGTCTGTGCCCCAGCATAGCTATCATAGATTCTAAAGCCCAAAGTGATATTAGATAAGAGCTGTAGGTCATTATTGATCTTCTTCACAGTAAATATCATTGTCAATATATGTTGATAATGCTTAGTCAGGACTCTGCCAAAAAAATTAGTATCAAAGTTGTATCAAATGAAATTCTCCTTCTAAAAAGGCCAGCAAAAATAAACCATAAAAAACTAATAATTATTTTTATGTTAACATATTAATAGTTAAACTCCATCAAAATAATGATTTAAGAGGTATCATTGTTTCATGTTAATTGATTTATATTTTATTATTTGATATAAATATTGTGGAATTATTTTTAAAAGGAATAATGGCAGTTTTTTTCTATGTCTTTGATAATTGTAACCAATTCTAATTATGTGAATCTGACCAGAATCATTACCAAGCATGTAACATATCATTGTATAAATGGTAAGTAAAATTGCATTAATAACTTTTTCTTACACAGGAGGTGGTTTCATTTTAATGTAAGTGATTGAAAAAAAATGGCAAAAGCAGCATAGAATTAGAATTTAGTCTTACTTCAACTAGAAGACTTCATATATATTTTTGTAGGACAAGGAACATTGACTTTTAAAGCACCGCAAAAGTTTTACATAATTCAGTGATGTATAAATTATAGCTACACCTGAGTGCCACTAGTTAGCTGGTGTTAAAGCTAGTTTTCACCCCATGGTGCACCAAGCATAGGTGCACAAGCGTTGAATAAAATGAACTAGCAATCTAGGCTGTCAGGACTGCAGCGTGTCTAGCATTTGTAAATTTCCCTGACATTGTATACTGTATGCTAAATAAATAAATGTAGCTTTTTCTATCAAATTAAGAAACAATTTAAAACTGTCTGAATATTAGAAATTCTACTACGATTTAATCAGAGAGTATTTAATCAGAGAATATTTCTTCCCTTAAAAATTTATTGGTGGTAGTGATGTGACATTTATAACCTTAATAAGTTTTATTATAAGAACCTGTTGCAATGGAGAAATTGGCAAAAATAAAATAAAATAAGGTCTAGGAAAGGCAAATGCATTTCATCAATACAAGAACATTGACAGCATATATCTGCTTCTTCCTCTCTCCAAAGATTATTATTCCTGGAAGGAAACTGCATGTCTCATTTTCTCAGATAAAATATTTATTTATTACTATTTGTTTGTTTATTTTCCACCCATCTCACCGAGAGGTTATGCTAACAACAGGATAAAATATTAAATATTAAAATAATAAATATTCTTTAAGATTTACTTATTTTTTTAAAAAAAAGATGGCTAGGAAGGAAGCAATATGCTGAATCTCTGACTGAACATAATTATTCCCATAGTTCAGTGCAATTTCACATCTACAGAGTCAGGTTTAGAGGCTAATGCTGCAATTCTCATCCCAAGGAGACTGGGGAATGGGAAAGAATGCAATAACCATGAGATTGATTAAAAAAAAGGAATATAAGTTCTAACTGTGGGTTTTCTTTAGAAAATATAAGAAAATAATATACAAGCTAAAAAAATCAGTTCTGGAAAAGAGTATATTTAATTACTCTAGATAATTATGATTCATAAAATCAGAGTACTAAATTATTTTATCTAGACTGATACAGACAATATAAATAAAATAATATCTTACAGGGATTCACCAAGAAGAGAATGATGGGGATCATCCTCAAAGCTTCCTACATCTAAAGACAAAAGAAGTAATTCCACCAATGATTAGGTCACCTGGTTGGAAATATTTATGATCAATTGGGATAGGATCTCGGATTCTACATTTTCTTATCTCAGTTTTGCAAGCTACATGTGGCAATTGCTGAAGGAAAACAATCAATATCATCATAAAAAATAATAATCCCAGTTTGAATAAATCTCTCATTTCCATGTAATGCTTAAGTATCTCCAGAATTTGACTAAGTTGAACTGAATCTCTCTCTGTTCTTCCCATGACTTCTATTCTGTTCTAAATCTTAAATTACAAATGGTTCTAAGAATTAATCATGATAATGATTTTATCTGTCCCTAAACTCTAAAATATTGTCAACGTTTTGTTCTCATTCTTTCAAGAAAAGTAATTTGCCAATCAGGAGTTTGCTGAGTGGCAAATTTAATAATAGGTTTTTTGATAATTATAAGGGGAAGGGGAAATTGCAACCTTCAAATTATTAATGATGTAGTAAGGTAGAATGAGTCAATAAGTCATCATGTAATGTAAGAAATGGTTTGGAGATGAGCAAAAGTCAGATGTGGTCAAGATGGAGAAATCCATGCCATGTTCTACATTCTAAATTTTAGCAAAAAAAAGGTTTAAGACAATGTAAGGGATTAATTAGAACACCTCTTTATACCTTTGTAATAAGGTGCATTTCTCCCCCTTTCAATTGCTATCACAGCTGCAGTAATATCACATGAAATGATTTCTTTAGCTCAAGGTGCTTGCCTATTACCATAAGTGAAAATGCAAAATATCATCAATGTTGGTACAAGCAGGACCTTAAAGAGAAACTATAAACTGAGATTTCCCTACTCTTTGAGTTCCTATGAGTTTCTCTTCTTTTAAACTGGGGAGTATTTTTGTTTCTTTTATCTTGCCTCCATGAGATTATGATCTAACTAAAAACAATTCTGAATAGGGTCTAGAGCAGGGGTGTCAAACTGCCAGCCTGTAGGCCAGATGTGTCACACCAAAACCACGCCCACCCCATTGCCGGCAATGGAAAAAAAGTTGCGATACGTCGCAACACATCACGTGACATCGTGAGTTTGACACCCATGATTTAGAGGTAATACCTAAAACACCCTCAACATTTATTTTTAGATTTCTGACCAGAATGTTTCCTAAGTGTCTCAGGGCAACTCACACTTAATTTTCACCACTTAAACACTTTCAAACAAGGCAAACATATGTGACTGACATTAACTGTAAATAATATTAACATTATCAGAAATATTAAATATTATTAAAAAGGGGTGGAAATAAGGGCTCTTTGAAAATCCAGAAGGCCACTTTTAAAAGTCCTACCCCTTTTATTTCCTCTATCTCTGTACTGAATAATTCTGATGAAATCATTTGAAACGAAACAAATGTGGATAAGCTATCCTTTCACCACAACAGGCAGCATTATTTTATTCCATTGCAGCGTGGAAGAATGTTCAATTTCTCTTGTTTAGAATAGTAAAATCATTACCAAAATTTTAAATCTAAGTATATTTTCTAGAATATTTATTGATTAATTCATATTTACTCCTAGCAACTGTATAGATTTTCTCCATTTTGATCTAACACTAACCTGTTCTTTTACAGTTAAAACTGTACCAACAGTTATAGCGGTACAGTCATAACCATTATAACTGAATGGTACAACATTCATCTTGCTGCTGGTTGTTCTCTTATTCCTTCCATATTTCCCAGCACTATAGCCTATTCCAGCAGGTCTTTGCATAATGTGTTTGAAATAGGATAATTTGAACTTGGTCATTTGTGACTCAAATGGAAATTTTGAAGTAGCTTAATGATGATCCATTAAATTATATTTTTGGGTATCCATGGTATTCTCAGGAATCTCCTCCAACACCAAAGTTTAAAGGCATCAATGTGTTTCCTATTCTGTTTCTTTAAACTCAATGTTTACTTCCATAGAGTGCCACAGGTAATACCATAGCTTGCATAATTCTGAACTTTGTAGGTATAGATACATCACAGTGCTTGAACAACTTTTCCAAGTCTTTATGGCTGCTGTACTAAGTACTAGTCTGTGGAGTATTTCTTGATTACTTGCTTTTTTACTCTTGATAGTTGATCTAAAAGACAGAAGTTACCCATCTTTTAAATATTTTCACTGTCAATTCTAAGGCTGGTTATTCTACATCAGAGGTTCTCAACCTGTGGGTCACGACCCCATTTGGGGTTGAACAACCATTTCACAGGGGTCTCCAAACAATGCAGTCTGCCATTTTTCCCCCTTTTCCTTAGCTGTGCTACTCTCTCTTATTCTATTGGCTTTTGAAAGCCAATAGAATAGACTCTATTCAAGAGACTCTATTCTATTGGCTTTCAAAAGCCAATAGGAATTGTCCAGGCTGTCTCTGCCCTGCTGAGCCCGCCAAAAGTCACAGTCTGCAAATGGTGCTGCAAGTTGTTTGCAGCTAAGGTAAACTTTCTGGATGTTTCCAACCCTCCCTGCTGAGCAACTACTAAATGTAAGTAAAAGAGGGCCAGAGGTGGGAGGTCGGAGGCCAGCAGGAGCAGGGAGGGTTGCTGGCACGCATGGGGGCTAGCGGATGGCTTATCTCCCTTGGGCTGGGCCAGCTGGTAGCCCAGCCGGTGGTCGGCCTGCGCCCTCGCTGCCACATGCCATGGCCACCCAGGAGCGCCTGGGCCTGCCTGCCACCGCACTGAATGTGGGGCCTGGCGGGTGGCAAATGCCTGCCTGCCACCGCACTGAATGTGGGGCCTGGCGGGTGGCAAATGGTGCTGCAAGTTGTTTGCAGCTAAGGTAAAATTTCTGGATGTTTCCAACCCTCCCTGCTGAGCAACTACTAAATGTAAGTAAAAGAGGGCCAGAGGTGGGAGGTCGGAGGCCAGCAGGAGCAGGGAGGGTTGCTGGCGCGCATGGGGGCTAGCGGATGGCTTACCTCACTTGGACTGGGCCAGCTGGTGGCCCAGCCGATGGTTGGCCTGTGCTGTCGCTGCCGCTTGCCAGCTACACCTCAGCCGGTGCAGGAGGCGGTTGCTGGATGATGGCCTGCATGCACCCTTGGCCTGCCCAGCATGCACTCCAGCCGCAAGACAGGAGGCGGAGTGTGCACACCTCCTCCTGCCCTGCCTGCAGGGAAATACAGGTAGTCCTTGACTTACAACCATATGGTTGGGGGTCGCGGCATTAGGAAACTTGAGAACCACTGTTCTACATGTTGTCATTAGTATTATCTTCTTTATGCTCCATTTTAGTACAATTTTTACTGTGTCCTCTGATTTTTCATACTTGCAGATCCTTTGCATTTTTGACTATCAGTGTGGTGTCATCTGCATAGTATGCAATTAAGAAGCTCAAATAGAAATGCCAACTCAATTTAATAAATAATTACCAATTTTGAATCGATAAATCGGACAAAATTAATCCATATATCCCTAATACAAATCAAAGTTGTAAAATATACAAATACATACAAATTATGTTATTTTTCTTATTAACTGATCTTTGTTATTTAGTTGGGGTTTCCATAAAATTATGAAGCATTTTGGGAAAAAAATACAACCTAACAACCCAACAGTAGAGGCTAAGATTGAGAAGACCTCCACAGCTACTGTGTATTTTCCCTTTGAACTTAGGTAAGCTGGAATAAAGGATAACCATACACTACAAAAGACCAACATGCTGAATGTGATGAATTTGGCTTCATTGAAAGTATCTGGTAAGTTTCTAGCAAAGAAAGCTATAGTGAAACTTACAATAGCTAGGAAACCCATATAGCCTAGGACAGAATAGAACATAATCAATGAGCCTTCATTGCATTCCAGTATTATATATTCAACTTCTGACTGTATGTCAACATCTGAGAATGGGGGAGAGGTTACAAGCCATATGGCACAAATGCCTGTTTGAATCAAGGAGCAGAAGAGAACAATGGAACTGCCCAGACCTTTCCTCATCCATTTTCTCATGCTGCTTCCTGGCTTGGTGGCCATGAAAGCCAGAACCACTGTGATGGTTTTTGCTAACATGCAAGAAACCGCCACTGAGAAGATGATTCCAAAGCTCATTTGTCGTAGGGGACATGTTACTTTTGTGGGTTGGCCAATAAACAACAAACAACAAAGAAAGCAAAGAAGGAGAGAGAATAGGAGAGCATAAGTGAGATCTTGGTTGTTGGCTTTGACACTAGGAGTATTGTGATGCTTCATAAAAATTCCAAACACCAGAGCTGTGAGGACAGCAAAAGCAGTAACAGACAAAACTAAACTCATTCCCAAAGGGTCTCCATAAGATAGATAAGTAATGACTTTAGGAAGACATAAATACTGTTCTTTGTTTGCATATTGGTCTTCTTTGCATTTAAAGCAGTCATCCATATCTGAAAAAAGCAGAATATATTTATTTGTTTGTCTAATTTCTATAGCTACCATTTCATGGCAAATGACTCTGGACAACAATCCAGACAAACTATCCAAATTGTATAAATTAGAGAATATAATATTTTCAAACTATCTAGTAAACCATTTGTCTTCAAACTTTCTTCACCCTTGTTTCCTCTGTTAGGTAAAGATCAAGAAATGTCCTCTAAGGTTAATTTCTTGCTTTGATGTCCATTAAGATCAGTCATTTTTCTTACAATTTTTGAAAAGTTATATAAAGCTCTGATGTACTGAACTGTGGGGCAGATTTGCTTGGTTTTACTTAACTTGCTATATAATGCAATCTAGAATTCTTCCATTTTCTGCTTTTTAACATTTTAAATACAAAGATTCTCAGAACAGAGGCTTTTCTTCATGTACTCATATGAGGATGATCTTTCAAAGAAAACCTTCCTCCCTCGATCCCTCCCTCCTCCCTTCCTTCATCTAGATCAAATTCAAATTTAGACAACCACAAGTGTTAGAATGAGAGTTCTCTAAATTTTGATGCTGTTATTTAGTAGTCATCCAGATTTTTTCAACCCATGCCTGGTATCTTTGTACAAGCATGAGAAGTTTTGCCTAGCTAGATTCATTGAGAATAGCCCATTGTTGGAAGTAATGTCCGTTCTGCATGAACCTATATGATGGGTTATCCCTGCATCTTAAAACTTGTCTGCTTGACATAACTATTAGTTGTTGACTGCATTTAGACTTTGATATCTTCTCTTTCTTATGTGTATCCTGAAGTTGGCCTCAAATACATTTGGCATTTGACCTCTGGATCTACAAACTTACTGACAGTGCCTTATGTGCTTCTGTAAAATTAAGACAGTAACTTGTGTTAATTCTTTTGCTGTATAGCATTGTTCTTACTGAACCTAAATATTTGGAAAGATAGGATATCCTTTTTAAAATTACATTTCATTCATAACATTTTCTAGAACAGCATGTGGCAATACTACTGAATACATTATGTATGGCAATGGTTGATGTAGGATTAAAAAAAACCCTACATTCACTCATGGTAGGTTTTATGAAGCAGAAAATTTGAACTTCTAGGATACCATAAACATTATCTGCATTCAGCACAACAATGTAAGTGTCATACCTTTCATGTTAGAAATTTTCCCTTCAGGACATCGATTGCAATCATAGCAGCAAAATGGCTTTCCTTCAAGACTTTTTCTTCTATAGCCCATTTGACAATTGCTATTGCAAATTGAGAGAGGCAATGTCTATAGAAATGAAACACCAAAATATTGATTATTCTCCAATGGTAGTTTGAGAAGAGGTACTTTTGCTAATCATCTAATCATATCAACTAATAGTGCAAGAACTTGGTAGGTTTATGCCTGCATTTTCCTCCAGGGTTTCAAGATGGTGACTATAATAATTCCATCTCAGTTTTTCCTAAAGCAACAGGAAAGAGGTATATTGGGCTAAAAATCATCACTGGTCCAAAATGCCTATTAAACCTCATGAGTGGATTTGAATATGAATTTTCCAGATCCTAGTCTAATGTGTTAACAATTACATCACACAGGAATGGGAAATGATGATCTAAAATAACCTATTGAGTTTTCTAATCTGGCCTTCTCTCTGAAACTACTCTTAAACCACTGGCCCTGTGGTACAGCCAGAACAATGTGAAGCTAAACATGTAGAGGTGAGAATGGATTTTAGGAGGCACCATACTATTCTACCACCTCTTATTATATTTTACAGCACAATATCAGAGTAGAATCCTTCAAATTTTTGGGTTCTATAATCTCCCAGTACTTGAAATGGACATTTAACATTAGAACATCATTAAGAAGACACAACAAAGAATGTTTTTCCTGCATCAACTCAGGAAATTCAAACTGCCTCAGGAGCTGTTGATACAGTTTTGCAGAGGAATTATTGAGTCTGTCATTTGTACTTCTATGACTGTCTGGTTTGGTACAGCAATCAAACAGGACAGATACAGACTCCAACAGATAGTTAGGACTGCAGAAAGAACAGTTATGTCCTGGACTCTGATTGACAGAGCAGGTGCAGGAAGCTGCACTGACCGGGCAGACCAAGTGGGCTGCCCAGGCCAGACAGGCTGTCTCCGGCTTCCTGAGCATGTGCGGAAGCGGAAAAATACATTGCATTCATTGGCTGACGCTGTCCCTTGCAAAAAGGTATAAAAGGGAGCAGAGCCATGTTGGTTGTTGTTCTGTTGAAACTGAATAAAGAAGTACCTGTTTGTTACTCTGCCTTGTTCAATGCCTACCAACACGAGAAACAGAACATTGGCAACAAAGGTGGGATCATGCTGCAGAAGATTAAAAGGCTGACTGTTAAGTACTTCGTTCGCGTGCGAATGATGAAGACACATGGCAATGTTAAACAGCTCTTTATTCTTCTTCTAACAACACCCGGACAACAACCAAAGGTACGCAGGCCTTTTTTTATGGCCAGAATCCCGGACAACGCCCACCAATAGAATAGAGCATTTTCGCACCTTGCACATGCGCACAAGACTGGTGCCACTCTGTCTGGTCCCGGGAGAGCTTTTGGAATGCCCGGACCAATGCAATGTCCCGAGCCTTCTTTTGCAGGCTCAGGACACAACACCCCTCCCCCCTAGATGGAACATACCTGCGGACACACATGTAGGTCATACATTGGAAGAGTGTTGCATAGTTTCATTAATCAAATGCAAGGAATGTGGAATAGTCAAGTCTGCCCTCAGGCAAAACCCCTTCAACTTTATTCATACAATAAATGTATCCAAAATAAAAAAATAATACAAAATAGTCTACCCATTATTCAGGGGCCTCATGAACAGAACCTTCATGATTTGACAGCAACTTCACAAAGTCTCTCAGATGTTTGGGTGGGCACTTGGCCCTCTGCGACCTTCTAAGGGCCGGAGAGATTGCCTGGCCCACTTGTTTGCCTACCAGGCTAGGCAGGCCAGGGCGTTGCTGCCCTAAATTCCAAGGTGACCCCAGTGAGGGTGCCTGGCCTACCTGCTCACCTACCAAGCGAGGCAGGCCAGGACTTTGCTGCCCAAAATACCTGGTTGACCTGCCCCACTACTGGATGGCTGGACCCAATACTCTGTAGACCCTAAGCATGTGCCCAAGGTGCCAGAATCAGGAGTTGCCTCCATGGCAACCCCCTTTGCTGGTGACCTTCTTTTGGGAGCAATTGCGGAATTTGGCAAGCGCCCCTGATGGAATTCTTTTTCTCTTGCTGCTTGTGATTTGTGTGGATATCCCCGGTCAGTCTCCTGTCTGGAGCACTATCTGACATATATGAATACTGTGGATACCCCCGGTGTGACTCCCTGTCTGGAGTGATTATGGATGTGTGGGATGACCCCCTATTCTGTGAATTTCTGCTAGGAGCACTTGCAGAACCTTGGGATGAATCCCAAATAGCCTCAATAGCAGCTAGTGATGGCCTGTTAAGCCTGTGAAACTGTGACCCAGAATGCATGTTATGGTCCTCCTCCCCCCCCCCAGAGTAGAGCCAGGAGCATAAGGGTGAGAGTCCAGTCTCCAGAGCAGTTGGTCTGCATGTCTGTGAAGAATGCATCACCCAAGGCAACTTTGTATGACAACGGCCCAGAGATCTTGCAGACCACAGCTGTGACCCAGAGATGACCAGGCCCATAGTTTTGTGCTCAGACCGGATCGCCCACCTGGAGTCTCCTAGGTGCCCGCAGTTGTGACACCTGTGAAGCCACCCGGTCAGTTTAGTGATGAGGCGGCAACTCCAGCTTGGTTCAGCAGGGCTCTTCCCTGTGGCAGTGCATGGTGTGGTGCTGTGTGCAAGAAGGAAATCTGCTAACCTGTGATGCCAGTTACCATAAGTCAGTTTCTTGAGGGCATCTTTGGTGGTGTGCACCATTCTCTCTGCCAGTCCGTTGGAGGATGGGTGGAAGGGAGCCAATGTTACATGCCGGATCAGATTGGCCTGAAGAAAAGCCTGGAACTCAGAAGAGGTAAATTGAGGGCCATTTTCTGAAACCAGAATATCTGGAAGACTGTGTGATGCAAAAATTCCTCTCAACACCTGGATGGTCCTGGCAGTAGTAATGGAGGAAACAGGAACAACCTCTAGCCACTTGGAATAGCTATCAACAACAACCAGGAAGAATTGCCCCTGAAAGGGCCCAGCATAATCTATATGCACCCTAGACTATGGGGTTTGGATTTCCTCCCACCTATGTACTGGGGCCTGAGGCATTTCAGGCCGAGACTGTTGGCACACTTGGCACCCTTGCACCTGGGCCTCGACGGCTTTATCGAGTCCAGGCCACCAAAGATGGCTGTGTGCAAGTGCTTTCATCCTGACTATGCCAGGATGTCCCTCATGCAGAGAGATCAAGATTCTAGACCTCAATGAGGCTGGGATCACTACCCTGCTACCCCATAACAGGTATCCCTTGAAAGTGGAAAACTCTTGCTTCTTGTGCCAGAAGCTTTGGAACTCAGTATCTGGGCACTTTTAGGCCATCCTGACAATACTCATGTCAGCACACATGTAAGCGTGTGATCAGTGGCAGTTTTTGCAGCCACATCCCTAGCATTGAGGGGAGACTCAGGCAACTCCTGAATTGACAGAATATTAATGGCTGGAGCAGGAGCAGGCTCCAATTGATTCAGGGGTAATCTGCTCAGGTCATCTGCATGACCCATTTCTTTTCCTGGTTTGTGAACCAATGTATAGTCATATGCTGACAGGAAAATGGATCATCTCAGTATACAAGGAGAAATAATATGTGGGGTCTGTTTGTTAGTGGTAAACAAACCCAGCAGAGGCTTATGGTCAGTATAGACCGTGAAATGGCAGCCATTTAAGAAATCATGAAATTTCTTTATGCCAGCCACTATGGCCAAAGCTTCTCTGTCAATTTGAGCGTAATTCCGCTCTGCAGAAGACAGAGTCCTTGAATAATAGGCCACAGGAACCTGTGTCCTATCAGCCTTCAGATGGCTGAGTACAGCTCCCACTCCATAAGGAGATGCATCGCATGTGATACAAACAGGCAGTTGCTCATTGAAATGTGCTAAAACAGCATTAGAAGTGAGCAAGGCCTTAACCTCATTGAAACTCTTGTCATGGACTTTAGCTTGTGTAATGGCTCTGCCACTGCAGTTTTATGTGGGAGAAATGCATGGTAAAAATTTAATTGCCCCACTCTTAGACTTAGGGCTTGGGGCCTGCAGGATAGCTTGCAATTTAGTCTCAGCAGGGTGAATGCCTTGAGCATCTATCCTGAATCCTAAGAAGTCAGTAGAAGTGACTCCTATTTTACATTTATCCTTCTTTAGTTTAAGGCCTGCTTTTCTAAAATGAAGCAAGACAGCCCTTAATCTCTCTACTAAATTTTGGGATGACTCCCCAGCAGTGAGGACATCATCAAAGTAGGGACAGACCCCCCGAATACCTTGAAGTGTGCTCTCCATGACACTTTGGAATATGCCAGGGGCTACATTTACCCCAAACTGCAGTCTCTTGACCTTGAAGACCCCCCTGTGAGTTACAATAGTCTGGGCCTCTGCAGCTGTCTCATCAACAGGTAGCTGTTGATAGGCCTGTGCCAGGTCAAGCTTTGCAAAAATGTGCCCCCCCCCCTTGAGGGAGGCCAGAATGTGACTTATCACAGGCACTGGATAAGCGTGCTGTTGCAGCACCTTATCCAGTGTGCACTTGTAGTCTGCACATATACGTATGTCCCCATTAGCCTTTAGAGGTGTTACTTTGGGGGTTTCCCATGGACTTGAATCCACAGGTTCTAGAATGCCCTGTGTGAGCAATTTGTCCAGCTCAGCATCAATCTTACCTTTGAGGGCAAAAGATACCCTCCTAGGCTTAACTCTGATGGGCGTGATGGTTGGGTCTAACCATAGTGAAATTGGAAGCCCCTTGTAGAATCCTAACTCTGAACTAAACACATCTGCAAACTCCTTGCAGACATCTGCGAGGCTCAACGTTTGCAAATGGTGCAGACCAGTTACCTGGATTACCAGAGCCTCGAACCAATCAGGTCCAATAAGACTCGTATGTTCACCCCCAACAACCACCACATCTAAGGGACCCTCAAAATCCTTATGCTGTACTCTAAGTGTGGCCTCCCCCTTTAACACACACCATAGAATTCTGAAAATCTGTAAGTATTAGATTGGATGGCCTGAGTTTAACTCGAAGGCAATTGCTGCTGCATATCCTTTTGAATGTGTTAATAGAAATA